AGGCTGTATATCTTGCGTGACATAATCACTGAGTTATTTATACCTGCTACATAACATAAATTCATCCATGAAATGCTCTGAAAGGACGGTAGGTTATATAGGTACAAATGTACTAAGTGCACGCTCATTTCTCGAGGTATTACATAGGGCTTTACTGTACTGTACATAATACCTTAATTTTTAAGACATTTATTTTTTACAAAGATGTGTTAATACGTTTTTGAAATAATAATAGGGTAATATACCTACTACACTAATACACAATATGACTCCGGCCGAATCAACTCTTAACAAACAAATTAACACCTTCTCGCTTGAATCTCTAAACTCAAATCATCTTGTGCGATCTCTGTTCTTGTTTCACCAACTCCAGTGAAGTTTAGATTAAACAAAAATGTTTGCTTTTAGTATTTTATCACACTTCCTTAATTGCCTTAACTTTGCTAAGATAATTTAGTCTTGAAGTTTGAAGGTGTGCCATCAAAATACCAGAGAAACTCGTTTGCTTGGCGATCACGAGTCGTTTGGTAAAAGAACCCAGGGAATGACAGTTTCATAGTTAAATACTTTTTAGAAGAAAAAATAAAAGTCAGTTCGTTTTTTAAATTTCATCTGCATGTCTATTATTAATACGTTTATATCTTTACGTTATAATAAATAAATGCGAAAGTGTGTTCGTTTTTTATCATTCCGTTCCGTCACAATGAAGCGCTTTTGTGATGTATTTATATCCGAAGAATGTTAAAAGGCTGGAGATAATTATAAGCTAATTCTTTATTTATAGTTTTCCATTAACGACACGGGTGATACCTCGGGCAGTAGGCTAGCTCCTATCTCTAATACAAAAATTTTACTTAATACTTCCTTGTTGTTGTACTTAATACTTTCATCATAATATGACTTAGCAATCATTTATTAGATGTAATGAGACACTAAGGTTACAATGGACGAATCCGCTAAATCCCTAAATCCCAGGTCAGACAAAAGCGTGATATTGTTTTTCTGATAGAAAATTTCGCTCGGTTACAGTTGGAATTATGGCCAGCAAAATGGCGCCTGGCTTTTCCCTTATGACATTTGGACAGTATGTGTTTTTTGGGACAAATCTATTGAGAGATTGGAACACGACTGAAATCCATTGTAATGAAACATTGCTATCATGTTCCCTTTGGATACTTTATAAAGAATTTTGATAACCAAAAGCAATAATAATCTACATCTGCAATGGGTTTGGGTACGTGATCCAGTAGGTATCTATTCCAGAGTCAAAAGTTGACGTCCGATGTCAGATAAAAGAGAAATTGATCAAATTGTGACCAAATTTAGACTGATGTTAAAACAAATCGGATACCTAGTTCTTATATTCTAATATTAAAGCAAAGTTAACTTAGCTATGTGTGTATAGAGTTGGTCAGACTGGTTCAACAAACTTGGTACTTACAGTTCTAACAAGATTGTATCTATATATCTTCTTACATTCTTACAGAAATACAAAGTTCTACGAAGTGCCATTATACATTTAAAAACATAATATAATAAGCAAGGTCCTAGAACGAAGGTTTCACTGCGGCAGTGAGGTCGGATATCGTGAAGGAGTGCACTTTAGCGCGCTGAGACTTGACCTCGTGTCAACTGTAATGAATCGATTACTCTGCGATAGATAGGTTCTACCTGGATATTTTAATTACTACCCTTGTGGTTTTTGTTACCGCACTAAGTGATAAGTAAAAGATAGCTTTGAATTAAGATTTGGTACAAAAAAATCCTAAAGTTTTCTATGCATTTCAAACATCTCGTGCTAGGATGTAGTGGTTGGACATGATGGGTGTTTCTTCGAAAGACTTTAACTTTTGTTTAACGAATTATTATTCTACCGCGTTGTTAAGTATCCCAAAAACTTATAAGCATCCGTGTTTTAACTAAATTGATAGTAGACACGGCTCAATTTCTTGAAACCAAAATTTTGTGTTTTAATCAGCAGAGTTGTTATCTTCGGGTTTAGGATAGTTATTTGTGTAATCACCCAACTTTTACGATGTATTAAATTGCAATAAATAGGATGTTAAGCTTAAATATTCAATATAGCTTGACCGAAATATATCGTGCGTTTGATCAAGATGACAAACATACAGTAAGAAGTGCTCTTAATGTTTGGCACTCGAAATGGTTGCAAGTTAGTTTCACAACCAAGAAGGTCACAGCTTTAAAAATCAAAGAAAACAGTTCAGAACTCATACTTCTAGTACCATTGTTATTTATATAACAGTTTTGTATTTTATATGAGCATTGGTTAACGTAAACAGATGTATTTGAGCGAACCACAAACAAAGACCTTTGGGATAGTTAAGTAGATTGAGCAACCCCGTGGGGCGAACGCTTCTACTCCGGAATTCCACACAAAGAGGGAATTCCGCTCAGACAACGTAAGAGTTTCATTGATGTGTCTGAATTGCCAAAATGTTTTGGGATAGGTAACCGCAGTTATTTAATCAGAAACAAATCTTTGAATAACTATATCTATAGTAAAAATATACATAGAAGTCTACATAGATTCTTACTAAGAAAATAATAGCATTAGTATATGCGAAGATTTCCACGCAAACCTTCATCACCATCATCATATACCTACTAATGCTATGCTATATAGTACCTACTTATAGTTTAACATAGAGAGATATGAACGACAGCTACTCCTCGGAAAATACTTACAATCAGCCAGTCCTAACAAAAAGGAATACTTTCTCACAAAATACTGTCATCTTTGCTTAAGACTTTCGACCCCAATCCAGACAAGAAAAAGGCAAGAAAACAAAGTCTAGAGAACAAAACAGTATGCGCATATAAATTGTTCGTATCCGAAACCAATACAGGCAAAGAAAGGTCATTGAACCTAACAAAAAGCATTTTAAATACTACATTTTTACTAAACTTTGTATTGTTGTCGATTTACGATCACGATTATAGATTTCGTTATTGCCTATTATTGCCAACTTTAAGATTTCAACGGAAACTCACGATAGACAATAGAAAGGCTATAAGGTAATGTAGTTCAATTCCCATCAATTAATTTGGTAGTTTAACGATTCTTGTTGTCATCGTAACAACAATGTAACATCTTGTTTCTCTCTGAGTGGAATGCGTAGTCTGATTTACAAGCTTTAACTTATCTTGCAAAGTATGTATGAATGTTTGTGTCATCATCATCAACAGCCTATAAATGCCCACTGCTGAGCAAAGCCTCTTCTCACAAGGAGAAGGTTAGAGCGTTAATCACCACGCTTGCTCAATGCGGGTTGGCGATTTCAAACTTATAATTAGAAATTATAAGTCCAGGTTTCCTCACGATGTTTTTCCTTCACCGTTTGTCAGTGGTGTCTAAGTAATCTTAGAAAGTACATATAACTCGGAAAAAGTCACATTGGTACTTGCCGTTGGTAGGTTTCGAACCCGCATCCTCATGCATGAGAAGTGGGCGTCTTAAACCTCCGGGCCACCACGACATTTGTGTATGAATGTTTGTGTATAAAGTGGAATCTTGTAACTGACCTTTGAAGCAGATGTCTTCAACCGATTGAGCTGATTTTTTTAAAGGCGACATTAATCTCGTAGTTAAATAATATCATGCGAATATGGGTTTGTTTGTCTATCTTTCATATCGCTTTTTAACTGTACTAAACCCAACAGAATCGTTAACAAAGAACCAAATTAACTCGTCGAGTACCGGGTTTGTAGACACAATTATAGAACAATAGGTTGCGGTCACCGGTGACCGCTTGGTGTTTGACAGTTTAATATCAATTTTTTTATGGGATAAGCCTATAAACGAGTTGACGGATCACCTGATGGTAAGCAATCTTCGTCGCGCATTGAGGACATCTGGAACGCCAGAGGCGTTACAAATGCGTTACCGGCCTTTTGGGGATTAGGAGTTTGAGGATTGTTGGGGATTCAGGGATTGGAGACATTGAGGAAGGGGGATTGGGCGTCCCGTAGCCTCACTCACATGACGAAACACGACACAAGCGTTACTTCACGTCAATTTTCTGTGATACCGTGGTATCGCTCTGGTCGAGCCGGCCCATTCGTGCCGAAGCATGGCTCTCCCACACTTAAAGAAGTATAATACCTACAATTTCTTTTGGCGCTTTTTACTTAGGGACGCTTAGAAATAAAATATTAATGAGTTCCAAAGAAAAGTGATGTAATTATGGACACCTTTCTATAATGTGGAGCGTCTGTGGGAGAAAGAGCAATAAAATGTCTAATGAAGATACTTAGCTTATAACTTATAACGATAGCTGTGAGGAATAATCAACTTTAATACTATGAATGTATGAATTACTTATTTAGGTATGATATACCATTTGTGTGATGTGTATAAATTACTTTTATTAGCTTTTTATCAAAAAATATTAATTTGGTATTTAGAAACTTGTGAACTGCTTAATTTTAGTCATTTTATAAATACCTACAACTTTCCAAATTTTAATTATTATTTTTTATATTGTTTTCAGCCATGGTCTTCCCAAAGCTTAATTACTACGTAGAATTAAATAGATCTGAGTTTTTAAAATTTTAAAATTGTTTCATTGATAAATGTTAACCTTATAAAATTTATTTTTACATGGTTGAATTGATTTTGTTGAATAGGTAACATGGATTGATATAAAAGAAATAAATGTTAGATTACGTTTTTTTTTATATAATGTAAATATGTATTAAATCCTTTTGAGATTGCAAATATATTTTGATAACATTCTGTAGTAATACAAACTTTGACAACAAGGTAATATCACCTCATAAAAATCTCTGAATTAAATTGACTACGAAACGTAGCCGCTTGCATCCCGCTACGGCCTCTACGCGGCCGCTACGAGCTACGAGCCGCTACGATATCGTTACGTAACTATCACCGCTTGCACATTCCTCGCGCATTCAGCTTCCAACACATAACAAAATTAATATAAAACTTATTACTAAATAATAAAATAATAAGTTACCTTGTTCATTCCATTTCCCATTTTCGTATAGTACTTTACCAACTATTCAAACCACCAAAATTATTGTCGTCATCTTAACAATACATAACAACCAACACATAACGTTTTATAAACATATTTATTCAAAAATCAACGGTATTTTAGTGTCATGTTCTGTCAAACTGTCAACACGATCGCGTCACTATGGCTACATTGTTGACGCCGGTGCGCCACGCGCTATCGATGTTGCCATCTAAAATGAGTTACATAAAAATGTTTAGCATGATAATCGGGATGAGCGGTTTAGAGGTGGTTTCGATCAGATTGGTAGTTGAAGGATTTGTTTTTTATCGCGGGTTTGTGTTATCGATCGTGTTAGTTTGCGGGAATGTGTGAGCTCGCGGCTGGCGGCTCGCGGCGTGGCTGGCAGACGCGTGCGGCGTGCTCGGGACGCGACGCGCCACTGCCGTCTGTGCCGGACTGCCCGCCCGGCGACACTGCGTCTATAAAACCCTGGAGGGACGGCCGCTTGTCGATTCCTTTATATGTCGATGTCTACATTATACTTACATAAGTTTCAGAAAGAGATTTGCCACAAACCTCTTTTTGGTAAACGGATTTATACACAACTTTTTATTGAATATAATTATATCACACTGCCTTCCTTAGAAGTCGTACTTATAAGGCAGTCGTATGTCATCAGTCATCAAAATACAATAAAAAACGCGGGTATTTAGTACCTATGGGTAGGTTAGGTAGGCTAAGTAACAAGCACAAAGCAATAAACACAACTTGCCTTCAAAGTATCGATACAAGACACTTCGGTACCTCAGTGCGGTACAAATGAATGAAAAGATACTCGAGGACAGCGGAGCGCCTTGTGAATCCGTTAACTGCTTTAATTGAGCTAAGAGAATAATATAAGATGTTAAATAAGACCTTTCAATAGACATTAAATAACAAGAAACCTAGAATTCCTTTCGTCATTTGCGTTTTATCCGATAAGAAGAGAATATTACTCTATCGGTGGGATATAGGTAGGAGATAGAAATCTCATATCATTAAATCATGATAGCCTTACAACTGTATTGAAATGAAACTAGATATGAATTTGTTTTTCGTTCCATGTGCTGAAATTGCTGAGTAAATTTTGATAAACTTAGTCGAACAGAGCATCGTCTTTTAATGAGTGATCAGGTCACTTCATTTCAGACTAGATATAAGGCCAGGATAAAATAAATAAACAGTAGGTTTTAACATATTCGAAGTATGGTGTCTTCATCAGTGCTTCGGAAATCAAATGCGATGTAAGAAGCCAAGATAACGGAGAAGTATAAAATTAAAAACACTATTATACTATAAATAAATATATTTAATACTGTAAAATTGTAAATAATTATTGCATCTAACAGCTAGGTAATAAGGTACAAAGTTATGTAAAACATACACTGCTTGCCACAAGAGACAGAGTTTTGGTGACGTCATGTTACATATTTATTTTACGAAGGTTTTCTTTTTATACATGACCATTAAAGTCCCACATAGAGAAATTCAATTTTCCTCTAAGTACTTGTTTTTAGCATAGAAATTGACACCACAATAAAAGTTAATACGTACCTATGTACTTTAATTTGTGCTTTGTAGATTAGGGTCGATTTGTCAACTAACAGATAATTCTTAACTGTAGAATAAGTTAATAATTCCTCTAATAAAATTTTTCAACGCTAGTTACATTTTACTAGAGGAGTAACAACTTTAAATATTTGACAATTTGGCCTTATTGGGGTAGACGACTAATTTTTATTTTAATGTCCGTCTGGTAGATTATTTAAAAACATTAGACACGTATTTTTTATTTTCTTACGGAAACGAATAGTTTCGAAGATATATTGATTTGAAATGTCGCGTGACGTCACTTCTCAGTACATTTTATACTAAGGAATGACGTTTTAACCCCCACTCCTAAACTTTGATTCGTTTTATCTAAGTGTTGTTTTATTATACGACAAAATAAAAAAATACGTGTTTAATATTTTTTAATTACCTAACTTACGGACTAATTATATTTTTAATTGTCATACCCTGTCATCATCCCCATTCTTAACAATAGAATATAATTGACATTTGACAGTTTCTAGTATAGAAGCATATCAAATATTCAAAGTGATTCCTCAGTTAAAAATATCTGGCGTTAGAAAAATCAACCCTTAGAAACTTAACTAAAGTATTAATTAAATACTATCCTTTTTTATTTTTTTTGTAACTTCGCATTAACGACGTAGTAAAAAAATAATCTGAACATGCAAAAATACACTACGTAACATCCAGGTACTTTAGGCTAGTACTTTCTGTACCTTTCAGAATTTTCTAAAAACAACAAACTGGCTACACGGTCACTCAGCGTTCTCGAGGGAGCGCTAAACGATAACACTGTAGTACAAAAGCTTAGCCTAAAGACAGAAGAAATAGTAGCAAGTTTACATTTATACAATCTCGAAGATGCGATTCAACTAGACTATTCTGTAACTGTTAATTCAAACTTTCGAAGTGAGCTCGATCGCATCCTCGGCCCATAATTTGTGGAGATTATTCTCAAATAATCAAGTATGGCGGCCCACGATCGAGTTCACTTCGATCTTCTAATTCGGTTACAGAATATCCTATTTGTATGTAAGCAATGTAAGGATGCTGAAGCATTACTAGGTCAAAGGCTTATTTAATAATTGTACTTGTTTTTGTCGTATTGGTAAAAAAAAATGAAAATTAGTAAAGGAGAAACTTAATATCTAAATACATAGTTAGGTTGCTAGGTAACCTGCAGCTGTAGCCAAATGCCATTTAGCGCTTGTCTACTTGTAGAGTGGGAAACCAAATTATATGGGATTAACGTACACTTGTCAGTGTCATCCCCATACATTTAGTGTTTTACTCTCTCGGTAGACACGCGCTAAAGTGGCGTTTGGCTAAAGGCACTGGGTTCAACCCTTTCGCACCATTCGAGTGCGTTGAAACTTTGATACTGTCCAATTACTACATACATTTAGAAGCATGGGAGCAAAGAACAGGAGGCAATTTAACTCGTCGAGTACCGGTTTTGTAGACACAATTATAGAACAATAGGTTGCGGTCACCGGTGACCGCTTGGTGTTTGACAGTTTAATTGCCTTTAAAATGAGGAGGTTCTGTTAAAATTCGAATAAGTTTTATAAAAGTTATATTCTTTGCTCCCAAGTGTATTTCGTATAATATAAAGAATATTATATCAATGTGACTCACTAGTTTCATCAGACGAATGGGCGACCACAGGATATTTAAAAATACACTATCAATAATTAATATGTATCACTGAATGTACCCGTATACTTTATATCTCATTGTTCTTTTTTCTTCGTCCTCGGCTGAGCAACCAAGGCCAGTCCGAATACGATCAACATTGCGCCAGCCCACCATGTCATGGACGAAGCTTCTTCAAACAGCGTTATACCTATCACACCCTGAAAAAAAATTTCAACTATAAATCTATTTGGGAATGTGCCTAATGTATGGTACTAGTAGGGTTGCCAACCCTACGTACTCTTAAATAGAGTATTGACATCTATATTATGTAAGCATACCTACCTACTCTATATTCTATAAAACTAATACAGTACGTTAAAATACTCTTTTTTCCACAAAGTTTATTTAACTAGTGCCAGTCTGTAATAATATGACAAAAACCCATGATCAGAATAAAATGTTATCTACTATTCAAAGTTAATACAGGGTGGCCTGTTTACAATGGTCCAAACACTTTTTTCAGGTTGAGAGCACATCAGTGATCATTTACAAAATAATTTAGATCAGTAAAATTTGATAGAGCTATTATTTTGAAAACTAATCCGATATTTCAATTATTGAAACAATAACATTCTTTTGTGAAAAGTACTGGACCGAATCGAATAAAATTTGATATAGACATTGTGGAATAACATACCTATCAAGCTATAGGTTAACCTTACAATAATTAGAATTTTTTTTTTATTTTAAAAGAAAAATTGTTCTGTGCTGCAAAAAGAACGACACGTAAAAGAAAATTTAAGACTTGTACAAAAATATATGACCTATACAAAACCTTCTTGGTCATAAAATTAAACAAACTAAATAAAACACTGTCCATCTTCAGTTGAAAATTATACCAACAGGCCATTTGTTGAAAAAAGTAAATAAATTAAAAAGTAAACTTAATGGCATCCTTATCTTTTTTGACATCACAATATGGCCAGTGTATTAAAAATTATAACTTATAAGTAGGTATAAACGAAGGAGGTACAAATCTTTCTCTTTTTTTGGTAAATTTCTGGAAATTCCTCTTTTTATAGAATTAATAGATACTGTCTTGGGTGCATAATGTTACTGATTACGATTAAGTATGCGAAAAGGGATAAAAAATTCGGACCCAATTTTTGTACAGACAGTATTAACGCTCCAATGAACATTGAAGAGCATGCATGATGTTATTTACAAAATGGATACCAGCCTTCGACTTCGTACCTACCTATCCTATCCTATAGGTATACCTTCTATTTTACTAAACGACTAACTGGGTACATCGTAATGTTTATAGGTATGGGCATATCTAGTTATATAATAATTTTCAGTAGGTCACAATTTATGATATCTTTTTTATAAAAATTATGACTTAATATTTAAATATAAACTTACCGATAGCACATAACTGGAGCCGGCAGATATGACGGTGGGTGCTGCGGAGTTAGTGGCGGCGTCAAGTGAGCGGAGATAATGTCGGCAGCCCCACGTGTTGGCCAGCACCATAGTCACCAGTAACGCCCCCCATATGATATAACTATCACCCTGTTGGTACGGAGAAAAGAGTTAAATAATCGTGTCTTTTCTTGAAAACGAAAATATTTTTTGTGAGTTTAGACACATTCATTTGGTTAGTTATTTTCTTTAGGAATTTGAAGAACCTCATTATTTGGCTGATTTTATGAAGTGGTGATCGCTTCCTTTAGATTCATGAGAAATTTGGCCTGATACCGTTGGTTAGACAGATAATATTCAAATGGTCATGCATTGATACGTGGATTTAATGGAAATGTTTAGTAAGAAATGATTTTTAGGGGAAAAAGCACTTTGTTCAGTAGTGGACGTCTGTAAATGATTATGATAATGAGGACATTTGCATTAAATTCCTAACCACTAATATTATGAAAATGTCTACTAAAATGTATCAAATATGAACTCACGAAACTTATTCACGAGTATCAACGCCACTGATGAATTTGCGAATCATTAGTTACAGACCAACGCTTGTGGAATATTAATCGAGCCATTCCTATATTGATCGAACCATAATGATGTTGTATTGTGTGACTTGTTCTTTCGCAGTAGAATATAATAATTATTAATTTATCTAAAAGTAGGTGTAAAGTGAGTACATTTGAATTGTATAATCAATAGAAATTCTTATGGTCTTATTTTATGATATCGCTGGCTGGTTGTAGACAGTAGGGCAGTCATGTTAAAGTGATATTAAGCTGAATAAATTTAAAACTGGCTACTGAAGTATTGACCCTTTTTACCCTTCACGAGCTTTGGAGGATATGGCAGTAGCTGTACTTGCGTAAAACATCGACATTCAATCGAATAAGCCGATTGGCTGACGCTAGCCTAGTTGGAAATAGATCAACAGAATATTTACTTTTTGATTTCCTTTTAACTAGGAGTTTATTGTAGGCCATGCATAGTCCTAAATATAAGACATTCTATGTGCTAAATTGTCATTTTTTTAAACGTTGCCCCACTCTAGGATTTCCTTCCTCCTGTGTCGTGGGTGCGTTTACAAACATGCAAGTTCACGTATGTGATTTTGTATACAATGATTGTGTATACAATGACACCCAGACCCGGAACAACAATCTGTGGATCACGCAAAGAATTGTTCCGTGCGGGAATCGAACCCGCGACACGTTGCGCGGCAGCCAGTTGCCCAGCCACCGTGCCAACCGTGCAGTCAACTTACAACAGTCTTCTTATAACAGACAACAGTTACATAAAACTTGGGCGCTGCATCAGTTATCAATTTGCTCTATAGTGTGAAAGTGTGTGTAATTCATTAGGTGGTGTGTGTGTAGCGTAGGTTTATGTTTTGGAGTAAAATAAAACATCTTATCTTATAGTATAGGTACTCTTAAAAACGTTTATTACAATAGGCAATAAATGCAAAACAACGGACGTAGAATCTGATACATTTATATAATATACTTTATTTAGCAATATTTCCGCAAACGTAATGAATTATTACTTCAAATTATAAGGGATAAAAAGGGCTATTCGCAGATGAGATTACCTTTTAAGTTCCTGTAAATTCGGCACCGAATTTCGATTACGATTTTTATTGTCATCGTAGTTAGGCACAAATTCCTTAAAAAGGAATAAAAAAAATACTAAGAGAACTGCGAATACGATATAAGCTGCGCTGGTCGAGTCTCAAAAAATCTTAAGCTTGTTCTTCATTAGTACTTTCATTAAATCCAGGGAAGCACTATTTCATGGAAGAATCTCACCTGCGCGAATAATCCTTAACAACAGTATCCACCTATAAAATTAATAAATTACATTTGGAGCGTTAATGCGGTACCGTGTCATTTTTTCTTAATTCTACTAGCAATCCATTCTAAGCCTAAATGTAGTCCTTCCCCAGTAAGTCCGCAACACGCCTGTATGTGCCACGGGTGTTGTTTAATCGAAGTCAATTCCAATTGCTCAGATATCTCTGCTGCGGTCATCGATCCCTTCACGTCCTGTTTATTTGCATAAACTAGTAGACAAGCCTTGGTAAGCTCCTCGTGTTTCAGCATCTGATGGAGCTCATCACGACACAAACTCAATCGCTGGCGATCCGTCGAGTCCACAACCATTATCACGAATTCACTGTTCGTAAAATAAGTGTTCCACGCTGATCTGAGACTTTGTTGACCACCCAGGTCCCACATGACAAATCGTAGATTCTTCCACACAAACTCTTCTACATTCGAGCCAATGGTTGGTCTGGTATGAACAGTCTCACCTAATAACAATTGGTATAGGATCGTCGTTTTGCCGGCGTTATCCAAACCCACTAGGAGTAGTTTGTGCTCCTCATTACCGAACAAGCTCCAGATCTTCGATAGCAGTAAACCCATTCTCGGCAATTTTTGCACCACTCCACTAAAAAGAGCAAGGAGATAAACCCGTAAGTTCAAAATGTAAATAAGTAATTGAATGATAACCTAAGAGAATGTTATAGTTATTGAAAAATAGATTTTTAATCAAACAACTGGGTAATAAAGAATTGAGCATTTTGAGACAAATTTTGTTATAATTTGTCGTAGCGCCATCTAGTGTTCGAAATTGGTACGAAAACTATTTGTTGACTCTCCAAGACAATGTTTCCGTTCCACTGAATCACATAAATCTGGTATAAGTACGTAGGTATTATATACCTGTAGAGTAAATTCACGAGTACGCAATAAACAAAATAGTACAATTAACACAATACCTTCGATGTTTCGTCATGAAATAAATAAAGATACGTGAATAAGAGTACGTAAGGTATGTCTACCTGTCCTTATCGTGAAATGTAATGTTATCACAAATGACATTATATAGTAATAATTTGAAAAAAATAAACGAACTTACTACAATACTGGCGGTTCCTGATAATTTTCCGAAAGTACTACCGACTGAAGCCCATATGCCGGCTAAAAATGCTTCATAAAACATGATTTTAGTGTAAAAACATTTAGCAAAACAATTGACGACATTTAGGTTATGAATAAGGAATCGATTTTATTCATAAAAATTATTACGCTCAGTTTTACGAAGAAAGTAAGATAAGTAGTCATAAAATTATCTGAAGATATTGATTACATAATTATTGACATCATTTAAAAAACTGTACTTAATCCTGAAATATAGCAGCAACTTTGTGTTGTTACCATTATTTTTATATTTCCCATGATTATTTCATATATCGTTTTCTATAAACGCTTTGTTATATTGCATGGAACGGATTGAAGTACCAGTATTTTATCTGTGTTATCTAGCTGTCATTGTCAATGATGTCATATCACGCAGGTTGACTGAGTTATTTCGGTGATATTTTACCTTTCCATATTGGCTATTTAAGACCGCGTTTATTTGTTATAAGGATTATTCATCGAGATCAGCCGAAACATAATTCAGTATTCGCAAGACCGTGAAGCGTTACTATCGTATTTCGGAACGTTGTCACAAAAGTGTTATTTCTTCTGACATACTTTTTTGGTAACTTTTAATTAGTTTCAACAGTTTTTTTTTTTTATATAGACCGGATTATATATTTTATTCTTAACCAAACTTCGAGCTTTAAATTATTACAACAATGGAAAACGTGAAGTCTGGTGATAACGTACTAATCATTTGGAATAACGACAACCAAAGCAGCATCAGTAATTTGGTGGAAGAAATAAAATCGATCATTGGAAATGGATCACTTGCCCTCGAAAACTCTGAAATGATAACAGAATGTGAGTATAACATTAACATACATATTTTTATTAAAATTGTTGATTTTTTTCAGTTTCTTTTCTTTCTTTTCTTGCCATAAGTAGCTTGCTAAGTTAGCAATTTATTTTAGTGTTTCCAATATCAGTTTGTATGTTGCATTTGCATTACGTATAAGAAGGTAGATCAAGATTTGTTTATAACTTTTATTATTTCTTATGAGGAAACTATATTTGATGCAAACATAAACAATTTTTGCTGACCTTCATAGACTTAACTGATTGACCTATTTAATTTTTCCGCAGCTTCCAGACCTTCGTCTTCATATGAGGCTGTGATATCAAACTGGCTGTCCCCACACACAGTGAAACACACTGACAATATCTTAGCCATAATCGTGAAACTCCTCAAGCCCAGTGGTAAATTAATTCTCAAAGATACAACAGATTTGACCAGTGCCCTTAAGTTAAATGGATTCATTAATGTCACAAAGTCTTCAGACAATTTATATTTAGCAGAAAAACCTAAATTTGAGGTAAGTTTTTATTTGGTTTAAACTGTCAAACACCAAGTGGTCACCGGTGACCGCAACCTATTGTTCTATAATTGTGTCTATAATGACGGTACTCGACGAGAACACTCCTGAAAAACGCCCACAGGTGATGGTCAAAACCAAGTTTATTTTCATAAAAGTAAAGATTTAAATGTTTTTTTAATGTAATATTAGTTGTAATCAGCTGTTCAAGGCTGATGTTGCATGAATAACATAAAAACATAAATGATTAATATTGTAAGAACGATTTCTTTTTGTCAGTGCTTCAGGAGTGTTCCGTTTACACCCTGAGTTTTTTTATATTCTGCTCTCTCCTACGTGACAGTGCCGACATTATTTTGTGTTTAATCACTTACTATTGTGTGTATAGCTGTACTAAACATATGATATGATAAATAAAGATAATTGTCCATATACTCAACCGGAAGTTCAATTGTCAATCGGGAACGATTCATAACGACAGTAGCTTAATGATGCTCATTGGGCATAGACGTAAATTAAGTGATTGACATGGATTAAAATTGCAAAAACATTGTCGGAAAGTAACTACTTCTATGTGTTAACTTGAAAAACCATGGTTATGGTGTTATGGTTGGCCTGTAGAGAATGCCATCCGGCATTAAGCCTGCCATTGTATACACTTTTGTACGTAAAGTGTTAAAATAAATAAATAAAAACCATAATTATTACAACAGACAAATGGTCTTTAAAAATCATTATTTTCATTAGTATAACCAATATTTGTTGCCGCATTTTGCAGGTTGGTTCCAAAGCCTCTTTAAAACTAAATGGAAAGCCCGCTGTATGGAAAATAGACGACACAGTTGAAGAAGCTTGGACTGGTGGTAACGATGATGACCTCATTGATGACAGCGAGCTGTTAGATGAAGATGATCTGAAGAAACCAGACCAGCAGTCCTTAAGAGGTATGTTTGCTTTTTTTCCAGAAACTTGATTAATGTTAAAACTATTATTTTTAAATTAACTTTTATTTTCTATTTTTTTTTTTTTTATTATAATAATCATCTAGTATTACTGTTATATGAATAATAAGTCCTGGTGAATATTGATTTTTATCACATTTCTTTTAAATTATTTATGTTCTATGAAATTAAAAAGTTTGGTAAGGTTTAGTAAACATTTAATAATTAGCCTGTTTGTTTTAAAGTTGAATGTTTTAAAGTTCAGATAACTAGAACATTCTTAGCTACATTAAACATGTCTATTTCATGTAAACAGTGAAACAAAAGATATTAACTAATTCATAGTTACATTGAATGACTAGACAATATACAGTTTTCATACAAATATGTTCAACATGAACATAATAAAGTAATAAGTTGAAAGATAAGGAAACATTTATCTGTTGTTGCCCACATTGCTCGTTATCTTGATAAAAACAACAATTGAGGTTTTGTGTTCCGAGCCCGTATTCGCCTGACTTAGAATGATGCTGTTGAGGTTTTGTGTTGCGACTATTCCCAATGACGCGGCCCATTCACGCAAGGTCAATGGCATTAGTTGTAGTACAAGTTTTATTTTTATATGTATAGAGTTCTTTATTACGTGCGATGCGATAGAATGGACGTAAATGCCACTCACAGATATACTTGTTGTAATTAATTAAATAAGGACATCTAGATGTCATTGACTATATTGTTTTATTTATCTTTTGGTACAGTATTTATTGTTTTGAAACAATACTTCCAATGAAGTAAGTGTAAGGGATAGGAGAAAGAGTGAAGATGTGATGGGATAATACACTTGACTTATGATCTCATCAAATAATTTAGTAAGATATTATATATTTTGCTTGTTGCTAGACTTATAAACAACAACAACAGCCATTAGTACGAGTATGCATACTATGCATGCACCTTTAGATACTTTCTAATAAAAAGAAAACAATAAGCCAATTTCACCTCATAAAATAAATACCTACGCAAAAATAGACTGTATGTTGCTAATCATAAAACATAAAATCGTTTACAGTTTGCGCAACGACCGGCAAGCGGAAAGCGTGTGCTGATTGTTCGTGTGGTCTGGCTGAGGAGCTCAAAGGAGAAGTCAAGGATACACCGAAATCTTCTTGTGGAAGCGTAAGTATATTTACATAGTTAAAGTATTATTGCTGCTCGTATGCACTAGGTTTAGACTCCTCTACGGTATTATTCTGACAAGCCAGTTTCGTCCCGATCACATAATATTTATAACATCTTTTTATCCCCGAAGTGGTAGGCAGAGGTGCACATTACGCCACTTAATGCCACTGTACAATATAACACCCACTTTTGACTATTTACGTTATGAGTCCCATGTAATAGTGAGCCTATTGCCATATACCGGGCGCAATTCCAGACTCCGTATTACTACAGAGAATTTATGAAAAAACCCAGTAATACTTTTCCCGGCAGTCGCACTAGCGATCACTCGGCCAACGAAGCAGTCACATAATCTTATCTTCCCTAATTGCATTTAATCAAACATTTGATCTTGTACAAAATTGTACCATGTTTACCTTCTCGGTTCTTCTCTAGTCTAGAACCCCCCTAAATTATAGTTTTTACTTGGCTACTGAACTGTACTTAGGTACTTTAGGATTCAGTAGCTTACTTTATGATCATTGTACAAAATCTTCTAATTAGTGACTTACGTTCATAGAGGGCATCCCTATTAAACGCTGATTAAGCAGTCACCTATCGTTATACAATTTATCATAGGCAATTATGTTCATAGCTTTAAGCATTTTAAAATATTTACCAGTAGCTGTAGCCAAATGCCATTTAGCGCTTGTCTACTTGTAGAGTAGAAAACTAAATTATATGGAAATGACGTAAATTTTGACACTTGTCAGTGTCATCCCAATACATTTAGTTTTCTACTCTCTCTCTGTAGACAAGCGCTAAAGTGGCATTTGGGTAAAGGCACAGGAACGATATATCTTTGTAAGACCTTATATTATTATATCTACATTCTATGCAAATATATGATTCTATTCTATTCTAAACCAGTTGAGAGGTCGCAAAAACTTAAAATATAAGGAAAATCCGCAGAAAATTGTAAGAAAAACACCACAACATTATTAACTTGTGGCTAATTAGCATCAATATCGAATGTCAACTCAATCGCATGACTGTCGGATTAAGTAATAACTTAAATCGGTATAAACCTTCTAGCAAAATTCAATGAACCGTTAATAACAAATCCGTAGATCGCATTCACCTATTGTTGTTTTAAACTATTTAGCAATTAATGGGTGTGCTGCTAACCTAAATATATGGCATCATTTATTTTTATTATAACAAAAATACGTAACGTAAAATCCATTGTTTGATTGTTTGATTGCTTAAAGGGCATTGTTTATTTGGGTATTCATACTGCGTACTGACTGCTCTATTGATCCAATTTTCTATTCAGTAAATACACTCAGGAGCAAAGAAACGGACGAGCCGAGCCACGAGCGTTTTTTTTATTTTATAGAACCATCTATAGCTTAAAAAAAAATATTCCATTTACAAAAAATGCTCTAACACTCGAATACAGAGAGAGGCTGCTCGGCTCCTATTGATCGTAGCGTGATGTTTCATAGCCTTATTCGGTAAATGGACTATCTAACACATACATAATTATTAAATTTGAACCAGTTGTTCCGGAGATTAGTGCGTCCAAACAAACCTTTCAACTTTAAAATCTGTCTAGCTGATGCCCGCGAATTCGTCTGCGTAGAATATGATTCCTTTTTTATCCCATGGGAGTATTTAACCGGGATAAAAAGTGTATACCAATTTTCATCTAAATCTGTTCAGTAGTTTCAGCGTGATTGACCAATAAACATTCAAACTAAAAAACTCACATTTCTGTTGTCTTTTAGAACTAAAGTCATAATATAGACACGAATAAAAATATGCCCGTCTAGATGACGTAGTTGTTTTAAATAATCACGACATATTGAATGCATTACATACAAATAAAAATGAAACTCACCGTTCACCTGTAATCTGCTTACGATATGCAAAGATATTGAGTATGGTTTTACTTCGTTTTATTTTAGGTAAATTGCTGGGTTCTAATAGAGTAATGTACTGTACTAGTTGTGTGTAATTATTTTTATATAGGTATATGTGTATTGTGTAATATGATTAAATAAATACCTAGTTATTATGTTTGCGACCCACTGAGGCATTAACAGTCTTTTTCAATTGCATAATCACTACATACTATAAAATAAAATCGCTATCCGCCGTCTGTCTGTCCCTATGTATGCTTAGATCTTTGAAATTACGCACCGGTGACCGCAACCTATTGTTCTATAATTGTGTCTACAAAACCGGTACTCGACGAGTTAAGGAAGGTTTGTATGTATAATACATGCATATTGCACCCGCGCGAAGCCGTGGCGGGTCGCTAGTTAGTGATATTTTAAAACTTCATTTTGCTTGTAAATAATACGATGATGCAGCCTTTAAAGTTTATATAGGTTTATAAAGTCTATGTCAGATTCAGACTAACACCAATGAAACAATGAAAATTGTCAAAAAATTTTGTGAAGATTGCATCCGAAAAAAAGTTATTACTCGTACCTATGCTTCGCCAAACTGATATTTGCAGTCGTTCTTGATAAAAAAAACCACTAAAGTTTTATCAAAACTGGTTGAGCTGTAGTAGTGACCCCAACCTACTTTGTAGACCGTCACCTAATTGGCTACGTTCGCATTTAAGCAGTGCATTGTGGGGTTTTGTACCTACTCGATAGTTAATTTAACTGATTAATTTTGATGTGCATAAAAAGGGGAAAACTTAGATTTAGTTTTTCTATAAAACTGCAACATACGAATATTATATTGGTTAAATGTTTATAAAGATCATACATTATTCTTAGGGCCTGTTTCACAATGTAAATTTTTATTCACTTTATGTGTTCAGTACCCATAAATTGTCCATACGAAATGAGAAATGAGGCTCTTAGAAAAATCCTGTTAGTTTTAGTTGTAGGCCTTACTTTTTTAAGTATGGTATATTATAAGATCTTCCATTCTTCTTCATCTTTATCAAAAATATTTTCGCTTCAGTTTATTCTTATACTAGCTGAGCCCGCGACTTCGTCCGCGTGGAATAGTGATTCACAGCTCCTCCCCCGTAGTTGATAGCATGATAATATGTAGCCTATTTGTTGACTCGACCTGTTAGTAATATTCATGCAAAATTTGAAGTAAATCCATGCAGCACTTTTTGAGTTCATCCCGGACGTACAGACAAACAGACAAAAATTCTAAAAACATATTTTTGGTTTCGGTTATAGACTGTAGATCACGCCCAAAGCATACTAATTAAAAAAAATATTCGATGTACCGTTTTCACTTTCCTACGATTTTATTATCTGCATAGATATTTCCAGTAATACTGCAAATCCAATATGATCACCTCTTTGATTAATTGCATAGGTTTGAGATTGAATCTACTATCGAATCAAAACATACCACCTGCACAGTTGCCGTGATAATTGTACCTATATCTGAATAATCTACAAAGAAATGTTATTAAAAAACATACATATTGTTCCAGTGTTACCTCGGCGACGCGTTCCGCTGTGCCACGTGCCCGTACCTGGGCATGCCTGCCTTCAAACCCGGCGAGAAAGTGAAGCTGGATCTCAACTCCGACATATGAACAATCTCAACAGTAGCTCCTTTCAATATAAACTATAGTATGTATGACAATTTGTGATTATTTATAATTGCTTTCAATAAAATTTATAAGTATATCTTTGTAATTTCATTTGTAGTCTAAGTTGAACAGGTGTAGAACTGTAGATGTAGAATTTTAGCTATATTTTAGTGTTGATTAGTATCTTTATCTTATTAGTAGTAATCGATTTTTCACAATTTTATTGCTGAATTTTGACACTAATTTATTTGATTCTCTACTTTATGCTTCACAGTATATCAAATAAAGTCGAAAATCAAAATAATTGATAGATTGAAATGGCATGACTGGCTGGCCACTGTTCTTTCATTTTAATGATTAATTAAATCCCTTCACAATGCATATTTTTTACATGCCTGCCTGCCTCGTTGGCCGAGTGGTCGCAAGTTCGACTGCCGGGCAAGAGGTCTCGGGTTTGATACCCGGGTCGGGCAAAGTACTATTGGGTTTTAAAAAAAAATCTTAGTGGTGGCACGAAGTCTGGAATTGTGCCTGGTATGTGGCTACAGACTCACTCCCTATTAAATGGGGCTCATAACATAAATACTGAAAAGTGGGTGTTACTTCTCAGAAAACCATACCACCCTACCATGTACATATAACTGGAGGTTTATAAACACAGGACAATCTGTATACCTAATGTAGTTAGAAATGTAGCTGTTGGTAGTTAGTTTGTAAAAAAAATGTAATTTTAAAAGTTGATATTGAAACGAGAAGTTGATTATAGTGCATTATTTATCTTATTCCTAACTGCGCTAGGTACTGGTAAATGAACCATGTTTCCATATGGTTGTGTTTCGTTTACATTAATTTGAATACAAATTGTGCAGTATTTAAGCTCAATTTTAAGCCGTTTGGCTTCTTTGTTGGTCGGTGCAGTACAAGATGATCAATTTAATTGTAGTCTTGAATTGAAATCTTTCGCAACGAGGTGAATGAAATAAAACAAACGTATAGCAAATATTCAATTATACATATTTTCTCTTCTTTTTACAAACAGTTAACTTATTTAACATATTTCGATCTATAACATTTTCCATTTACAATAAATCTGAATAGTAGTCATTCCGCTATACAATAAAATATACATATATATATTTTTGCGATATCTGTCATATAATAACAATTTTATAGTTATTTATCTATTAATTTAAATGACACAACATTTCCTGTTTTCTACAATACGCTATTACCTTGGAAAGTACAATGCTCGGTACAAATTTGGTTCTGGAAGTTGCCTAGGCAATGTTTCCGATGTAACTTTCCACGATACTAATGTTATACAATATATGGGTATCATTGAAATGGTTGGACAACAACTCCAACTAAGCAATAACAGTGGAATACTAAAATATTTGAAAATCTGTTAAGGATGGCACAATCATTTGTGTCAAGTAATGCTTCGTTAGTGAGGCACAGTCAACTAACATACGGACTATGTGAACCATTACTGGCCTTGCCGGCTGGCAACATCAACGCAACAATATGAATCTCTCTTCATACATTATTATCTATTGTCACTATACTTGTAACATCTAAATATCAATCACAATAGAGTCGCGACTCGCACAATAACATTTGTAGTAAAGTCTTGGAAGAAACAGAGGGTGATATCTAGACATTTATAAAAGTATGTAAACAGAAGAAATTGGCATTGCAAAAGCAACTATCGCTTACAACGGAGTCAGCAGTAATATACTTGATGTCAGTCTTTGGGCATATTCTATGACTTAATCGATGTTGATGTTATAGCGATCGCAATCGATAACATTCTCGATTACTCGCGAGTCATTAAATCACTTCGATTTGTAAAAATAAACTCTCATTGGAAGGCATTGTATTGGAATAGATAAAGCTGTCCGTTAACTTGTTGTAAACAATAATTCCTTCTAGAAATGTCAGCCTCTGGTTTACGTATAACGAATATCTCTGACGGAATCCAACGCATTGCAAATAACATTTGCATATTGTCTAATTAATACATTATACAACAAACATCGATGCACATAATAGATGGTAAATATTATACACTTATAATGTAGCATATAATCAAGTAACAAGTGCTGACTGAATATGTACCTACACAGTAACGATATTTTAACGTATAATTGACTCACTAAATCTACTAGGAGGCGCGGAAGAACATCGATTGTGCCAATGTTATACAATGGATTGGCAATATTACAACAAAGTGTCCCTTAACAAAATTTTCTCTATAATATCAATCATGATTGTGCCTGAATTACGTCCACAAAAATAATATAGCACCTTTTTGAAATTAAATTAATACTTTCTGAATTTGGATTTTGGGAAATAATACTTTTTGTAACAAATTTTGTACTAAATGATTGTCCAGCGTTGATAGCGGAGCTTCATAGTTAAACGACGGAACGAGCTCGCGCCCACAAATAAATGCTCCTATCTCATAATTTAAGTAATATCTTCAAAGAAACTACTATCCCACAACATTCAGTAAAGCGTCCCAGTCTTTTCAAAAGTTTATTTTCATCAAATTGAGATCTTGTTTAGACTTGATAGCGACCACTCGCTCGCGCGTGACGTCACCGGCGCACGCGCACGCCACGCGGACGTCGCCGCCGCGAGACACTAGTCTTATAGTTTGTGAGGTAGGCTTAGTCATGATCTAATGAAAGCGCCTTGTTAGAAAATACCGATTAATAAAATGAGATCTTTCATTACAATTACAAATATTAATATAAAGACGATAAAACTAGAATTACATACATTATACAACAAATTATTAACTTTTGTACAACACCATCCGTCGTCATGAGGTGTCCGTATTCTATGGTCGCGGTTATCGTTTAACACAATATGATTAAAAGCACGTAGCATTTGCGGTACAATGAAAGCAACCCTTTGCAAATCTAACTGTCCGTATCCCTGTGTCACCTGTCAGTCTGCGCCTGCGCTCTCTATCCGCCAACTGCGGTAGAACATCCATGACTCGTTACATCTGACAACGTAATTGTTCGAGATAAACTTATTATGCAAACAACATATTTATGGATTTCAATTTATATTTAAGCAAATACGAAACTTGTGTATTTTCACTTAAGATTTATATTAAATTAATTTGATTTTGATATGGCCATGCGTTTGTCGTTATGTTCCATAACGTTATATTATATGTATCATCGTTTCATCACAGACACTATGTTAAGTTTGTTTTGTTTTAGTTTTTCAGCGTTTTATTTTTGAGTATACAACAACTATACATTTTCTTACCAATAACGCACTTATTTGTCTAAAACATATATTTCTTTTATTCAAGCAATACTTCATACCTACTCTGACCAATAACTACAAAATATCACAGACTGTGTGTTTATCATGTATACATCTTCTCATAGAAAAGTTATGTGTATCACACATGGACGTCAAAAAGCAATAGAGATGACATCTATATACCATGATCATTATACATATTTCATTTTATTTTACAATATATACCTATCAATTATCAACATTTATATTAGATCAAATTATTTGTCAGAAGGGTTTGCCGGTACAGCTCAGCGAACGGGTCGTCCGGCGCGACACCGGCTCGAAACGACAATTACATCGTCATGGATATGTCTGCAGTCACAACCATCGGAGGAGAATGGAACTCTGGATGACTGCGTCCGTTACAAACATAATCATTCAGAATACTCGTAGAAAGAAATCAGTCGAGATTTAAGCACACGTCAGCCCATTACTCTACTACCTACTATCTAACATTCATTGTACCTTTTGTTTTGTTTCTATATGCATTGCCACGTGTCCACGCAGACTGGCGATAAAATCTCATTGGTTATCACAATATCTAACCTACTTTAAGATCTGGTACAAACTTACACTTTGTTATTTTTGTGCTCATTATTTAAAAATGTTTTATCTCCATGGTTGTGGAATATAAAATTAAAATATAATATTGTTTAAAGGTTCTCGTGTAAGTATGTCTAAAGCGTTTTACTTTGTATGCCGTATATTGTAATATATCTTCGTGTACCATAGAGGAATGAGGAGTGGGTGAACGCTCGGCGTCGCCAGACCTCTTCCTTTTGTGACACGTTAGGTTAGTCATGGAGCGTAACGTTTAACTTCGACCTAAGTTACATACATATTTACAACATCGTACACGAACGCGTACAGAAGCACCCGACAGTAAAAAGCACCTAGAGTTCCCCAATAGAATTTCATAAGCGTACTATTATGGACTGCCGATCGCTGCAGAAACCGCGCAAATTAATATTTAACAATAGTGCATGCCGGAGCATGCAACCGAACTCACTGGGGCCGTTCATTATCTATCTATAACGTTCCTTCCACGAGGAAGATATCCTCCGTAGCACTTGTCCATACGTTCCACTACCATGTTTAGCAGGTTCGGTACACAGAACAACGAAACTGAGTCAGAAACGAGTAGCGAATTGCAACGATCACAACACGATCAAGACAGTTCTCCTCCAAATACGAATACGAAGGTCAGCCACGTTTCAGCGTTTCTTGAGAGGAGGGGGATTATCCTCGCAGACGTCTGACGCAGACCAACGCCGCTTGCGTGCGTCCTCCTTCACGCTAAGGTTTTCAGGATGCGTCTGCGGGGGCGCTGGGGGCGGGGCAGGCGTGTGGGGCGTGTGAGGCGTGTGTGGCGTATGGGGCGTGTGGGGCGTGTGTGGCGTGAGAGGCGCGGACGCGGGCGCATGACGGCGCGGCACCAGCGACACGCACACGTCGCCCACCTGCAGCCTCTGCACGCGCAGCCCGTACTGCGCCAGCGTGCGCTCCGGCTTGCACGACGCCCAGCCGCGGCCGTACACGAAGAATGGATGCTCCACCGTGGATTCCAGCTCCACCTGTAATTATTTTTAAATCGTTTAGTTTGATTGTCGCTATCGCTTTATACTGATTTAATGTTTCTCCTTGCGTTTTACTTGCTTTAGCTTTCTTCAGCTTTATATTGAAACTTGTTTTTTAGACTTTCTAATGTTTTCTGCAATCTTCTAAAAATATATATTTAACAATGCAGATGTAAAATAGTGATAAATGTTT